GAGCCGGGGCTGCAGCCTCGGCACGCTGCCGACGGGTGGGCAGCGGCCCGCGCGGCGCCAAGGGCAGAGGCCCGAGAGGCCGGCGACTAGCTCAGCGCCGGCCGTCTGCCGGACTGACGCGGTGAGCGTCAGCGGACCCCAGCCGGGCCCGACTGCCCGCGGGCTTACGTCACCGTCGCCAGAGCTGCCGGCTTCCTGCAGCCCCGCGCTTGGACCGCTTCCTGCAGCGGAGGCCAGGGGAGCCCGCAAGCCGCGGAGCAGGGGGAGCTGCTGTTCTGGAAGCAGCGCCTGGCCCGGGGTGGGCCATGGTCTGGAGTCAGAATGCTTTGGTTCTAGGAACCAGCTAGTACAAAATCTCCTTCCTGTGGAAACAGAGGTAAACATTTATTGGAAGTTGAATTTTGGTTGGGAGCTTGGTCCATCTGGGCGTGACCAGGGCCACATCGCGTTTCCTAAGACTCGACCTGAACAGCATCCTAAAAACATGAGGACCCTGGCCTGGACTGTGTAGAGAAGACCCGTGCTTGCCGCTCCCTCTAGTCCGTTGGGCTCCACCCACAGAAACTGCTTCAGACTTCCCTGTGCCCAAGGCCCTTGGCTCCAAATCTCACTCTTCTTTTAATCCTCATAGAAAACAAATATTTTTGCTTCTAAGTCACGGAGAAGGACCTATGCTCAAGTGTGAGAACTGTAATTTCCTAGTTATTTTGTATACAAGTATCTCTGTGTCTCAGATACTTTGTTGCTTGATTTAGGCCCCTGAGTGCAGCAGCAGAGAGCTTCCCATGCAAGAGTCTCAAAAGGGAAACAATGGCGGGGAATAGAAAGAAGACACTGCTACCTGAAGACCAGAGATCAGATGGTCTTTAGATCTCACGTTCCTTCCTGCCACAAGCTCCTGAGGGCCAGGAAGAATTCCTGGGTGGGCATAGTTTGTTATTGACAGAAACTGGACCCGGAGCTCCCTGGAACCTACACAGGTGGCAGAAGCTGACACATTGTCATTTCAAAGTTGTAAGCCAGTTTCTGTTTGGGGAGAAATGAAGACTGGAAGAAGTCTTTCAGAAAGACTTCGTTTTCAAAGCAAAACAAACAAAAATCAACCCAGAGAGATCTTCTAGTTCACAAAGATAAAGTCATCTTCATGCCTGGAATAGGTAACACATGTGAGAAGGCTTCCGAAGGAGTCAGACTTCTTGGATGTGAAAGAGCCCGCATCTCAGTAACTTGAGTCTGTAAAGAAATGCATTTTTCCTAGATATTCCTGGAGATAGCTGTGATTTGGAGGGCTGCTGCTGTTGAAGAAACTGTATTGTAAAATTAATGTGGTTTTCATCAATTTCTCTTCAGAGGATGGTTGTGGCAGAGTGAAAACAGATATCCCAAAGCATAGGGTTGTTGGAAGTTTGTCTAAGGGAGATGAAGGGTGACTGAAGCCACAAAGGGGCCCAGGAGGCTAAGCTGCCTCCTGGGAACAACACTCTGTTAATTCAAGGTTTGCATTTGAATTGGGCAAGAGAACCTGCACCTGATTTATATGACTTATGTCTGGCTGGGCACTAGTCAGAAGTGCCTAGAAGTTGCTAGAAGGGGACAGTTCCATGGAAACCACATGAGCTCAGTGGGCACCTAGGCAGTGGGGCCTGTGACAAGAGTTCCTGTCTTCTAGTTGGAAGAGACCTCAGAAGCTGCCACTTTGCCTTCTGCTGCCAAACAGTACCATGTGAGGGACTATTCAGTCAGGAAAGGTTGGGTGAGCTACAGGACTGGTGCTGTGCTGGTGCAATGGTGACTAACACATTTCATTAGTCTTCCTCTGAGTAGGGACATGTGGCTTACCATGCGCCTCTGAGATGCAGGCTGGGCAGGCTTGTTTGCACACATCTCCTAGGACATCTCAGGCAGGTGGTACTTCAGTGGAGAAAAGATCCCTTAGGAACCAAGGAATTGCTATATTGCATTTCATGGTGGAGCAAGTCAAAGGCCACAGCCTATTTCAAAGAGGACAGGAAGCATGACATTGCATCCCAAAGGAAAGAAGTGAATATGTGAACAAAGCCATTCAGCAGTCCCTGGCTGAGGCCCTGCCCTGCCCTGTTCTGCCCTGATCTGATCTGCCCTTTCCTTTTCCTTCCTCCCTTCTTTCTTTTCTTTCTTTCTTTCTTTCTTTCTTTCTTTCTTTCTTTCTTTCTTTCTTTCTTTCTCTTTCTCTTTCTTTCTTTCTTTCTTTCTTTCTTTCTTT